CGAGCACAATTCAATTACAACAAAAGAGAAATTGTGGCACCTAGAAATCAATAGCCCATTACAGTATCCTATGATGGACAATTTTAACTGTATTTAATCTACTGAAATGTGATACTACACACCATCACAGAGCGTGCTTGAAAAATATTGCAGGCCCTCACTCAATTTCACTGAAATTAGCAGCATGATCTTATCCACCAGTGCAATCCTACACAGTAAGCAAATCAAATTTGCAAACTTTTTTAAAAAGAGAGCTACGGAGAAAGCCCACCCAGTAAGTCAAAGTACTTGCCAGCTGAAAGTGTGTTGTGCAAGAAAAGTTGGTTACTTTGCAGCAATGACTTTTTTTTTCCCCTTCAATAAAGAGGAAGTTTCATTACAGTTTTATGACTTTATGGAAGCAATATCTGACTTCAGCAGCAGTCCGGATTGCTGAGCATTTCTGAGCAGGAGACTGGAAACTGACACTAGTTCAATTAATACTGTACATTATCAATATATGAAAATATCTAAACAGCTTAATAAACTTGTTTTACAATGCTCTGTGTCATCTTAACCGTGACTCTTTCAAGACAGCTATATGTTTAATTGCCAGGAGGAAACAGGAGTTGGGAGTTTTGGAAAAAAAACAACCATGAATTAGTGTACTAGTACTCAAAAAAACTCCCCCCGTTTGGGTTTAGTTAAAACTATTCAGCTACAGCACTTTATCTGATAACAAATTTTGGACTACCTTCAGGTTTTAAAACAAATAGTCATTATTAATAACTGGAAAATCCACACTAACAGAACTATAATTTCCTAGATCTCCACAGACATTCATAGACAGGTTATCCTTTCTTCATGGGTTCAGGGTTACCTTCTTAACTCCAGGGAGTTGGAAAGATCCTTGAAAGAAAACAGCTTTTTTTTTTTTTAAATTATTACAGATTCTGACAGAGCACAAAGGGCTTCAAAGGCAGCTAAAAGAGATGCTAATTAGGTGGCTGTTGTACACAAAAGAAAGAGGCAAAAATAATAATCAAGTTCTCTACTTTTAATACTTAAAATTTTTTATCTGTACAATGACAGATACACTTATAAATTGATTTCTGCATTAAACTATACCAAAATTTGATGCGATAAACAATTGAGCAAAATAAACCAATGACTGTTATGATCAGTTTCTTACTTTGATGCTGTTTCTAATCAGAATAGCCTCCAACTTCACGCATAAAAGGACTGTAACGAAAAAAAAAGCACGTCATCTACAGAAAACAGAATTTTGGGATCGCTTAATTGCATCTGCTTACATCAGCAAAAAACTTTTTATTTAAGCTGGAAGTTTACTTACAAAACTGAAGAACTTGAAGAACAATCAAGATATTTGAAAACATGATACAGAATATGAGAATTTACACCTTGTCAGATATGCTCTTGATTTCAACATGTTTTACTTGCAGAAAAGTGGAAAATATTTTGCTGGTAGAAGCGGAGTTTATATGCATTACACAAAAGCATACTCAAGTCAAAGGCTTCCTTAATAGAAGGACAACAACATTTTACAAAGTTATTAACCACGCGTTCGTTTTTAAAGGTAATTACACCAACTGAACTCTAATTTACAAACACTACCACAAGTTTGACAGTCTGTTTACACTTTGATACATATTGAGACACACCACATCAAAAAAACCACCTCTTGCGCTTGTCCAAACAATTAAAACAAGGCATTACCACAAAGCCATGACGTTGCCCCAGGACTAATGTTCTTACTAGATCTAGAATGTTTATTCCAGAACCTTCTCACCTGCAGTCTGAAATTCAGTAAACCAAATCCTGATTTCAAGTTGTTTGTAAGCCACAATGTTTTCACTCAACTACTGAACAGCTTACTACTTCTAAACATATTTAAGCAGTGCATTTTTGCAGACTCACCTGTGATCTAGTAATCTACAGTCAAATTAAACTGAGGCAACTGTTCCATTTACACATATACTCAAGACTATAAAAAAAAGCAGCAATTATGCACATATAAAATGGATATTGTGGTATATCCCGCTAAAATATCATTTGGTCAATTTATCCATCTCGAAACAGAGGCGAGTGAATACAGGTAAGATTTTAAATAAACTTTAAGAACCATTTCATTGAAGCAATGTTTGCAAGTCTGAATTATTCCTGAATTAAGATATTCAGTAAACTCAGCTTTGTCCTTCCTTCTTTTATTACAAAACCCCTTTAGACACATAAGCACTGCTATTTTCTCACAGTACTGCTTACAAACTTTCTAACTAAAGTATAATTAAGATACCATATTCCATGCAATATCAGTTAAACTTCTCATTAAAGTTCTGAAGAACTGCCACACGGTGGAGGCAGATGCCTGCCACTTGAAATGAGAGGCAGACATAGTGTACTCTAATGTTTGATCTTCATTTTACATCAGTGTACATGGATTACTGCAATAAATATCACCCACTTTGAAAGGTACCAGTGAAACTGAGGAAGGATGGGAGAAAAGAAGGACAAAACATAATCATCCCCAAGGTCTAAGTCTTCAAAAACAAAAATTTGTTAAAATTGTAGTGAAATTGCTATTGGAACAAACCAACAAAATCTTCTAGAATTTAAAATTGTGCAGATCTATATACTAAGAGAAGTGAATTAGATCCCTGAGTAACATGCTTGTGATGGAGGCAGACAACAGAAAAAGACATTCATGAGGTGTTTTTTTTTTTAAACTAAAGCCATAGTCCTATGAAAAATGTAGTCCACAGTCTTATAAGAAACACCATTCAACTGAAACCAGAACTGAGTTTCAAGAGTACATTACATGTCAGTATCCCAAGTCCCTAACTTTGGTTTTAAGGTAAATCACATCTAGTTACAGCTAGATGAGAATCTTTGTTTCACAAAGCAGCAGGTACATAGTTAACAAACAGGAAGAAATGGATTTTTTTCAACCTAGTGCTACCTAACAACAGCAGTCAGCCTTGAAAAGGTTTACTTGAAGACATCTCAGAGATTCTTCACTCTTGTACTTCTCAATATATTCTGCCCTTTTACACATGGCCCCTGTATACTCATATAATTCATGATGATATTATCAGGAGCACATTGCAACAAAGTTGAGCAGTACTTGGTGTGATGTGGGACTGTAACATTTTCATACTTTGTAAACCCAAATCACTGACCCCAGGGTTTAACTAGTGCTCAACACTGAGAAAACATATTAAGTCGTAAATAGCAGTCTTTAACAGCCTAAGTCCTTTGAAGAAAATTTCTTAATGATACTGTCCAAAGTACACAAATTTATATACTCTAACTCTTCTTTTTCTCCTATTTACTACCTCCAGAGCAAAGCAAAAAAGATCTGCTACTCTCAAGCGCTTTTAGTCCACAGGAAGCTGCAATGAGCTATTAGTAAAATCACTCGTAAAACAACATCATTTTAGATCTGGTACTTATTGGTAAAATAGGACTGTCAAACTACTGACTTTGGCTCAGATTCCTTACTTATGTATTTCACTTCGACTTGATCCAAGTTCAATCTTATTCTTCATCACTTCACTAAACTAAATCCTATGCACAACATTACAAGTCTGAAGCACATCAGAAGCATATTTTGCAAAGCAACTAGCAAATCAAGAATTTAGCTGGACTGCCTATTTTCTTTCTGAAGTCATCTGCATGGCAAATATTTTTCACCAAGGAAAAGCCAGATGTACTCTGAGAAAAAAAGTTAGATATTAATTAGGTTTGAGCAGCTCCGTGTGATCAAAAGCAAATGCATGAGTAGCAACCAATATTCCAATGGTCAGTAAATGCATCTCAAAAATCTCTGAATCTGCCTGCGCACAGGTTACTTCTAAAGCACACAATGAAGCACAAAGTGCCCTGAGATAGAAACCAGACTTCTCACTAAGTGCTTTGGGGATTTAACTCGGAACTATCCCTGGCTTAATCCTGTAAACTGGATGCCCATTAGCACCTGAGAAACATTAGGCATGTTCCTGACATTTCAACCTAATTTCATCAGAGAAGTGCAGTCAAAGAACTTTGAGACCACACTGCAGTGTGAAGCAAAGCACAGAAATGGGTATGACTGGATATTCACCTGACAAACATGCTGTTGACCCAGACTAAACTGCTGATGTCAACCCACACTAACATAGCTAAAAAATCAAAAAAGTAATGGTTGCATGTAGTTTCCCAAGTACTGAAGACAAAAAAATTGCTCTCTTCCCAGATTAAAGAGACCTTGATCTCAAAGACTATGAGCTTACATTACACACAATTACTTGAGAGGCTCACCTCCAAAACAAAGCTTCAAGGGAAGGAAGTTCAATTTTATGTATGTTTTTTAAAATCATCATTCAGGCAATACCTTAGAGAGAATTTCTTAGAAGAGTCTTGAAATAAAAGCAGCTTTGGTCATTGACACATTGCATTTTTCTGTTCAGCTCTTTCAACTCAACGTTTTGTAGCCCACCCACGAAAATGTTTAAATATTAGCTAGTTTTAACATGAGTTGGCATTACTTCAGTGAAAATCAGCAGCATCTGCTCTGCTGCTAAAACTTTAATAAACATTAGGCAACGTCATAATTAACAGTTAAGAGCACTGCAAATAGTTTTTTGCTAATGGAACTCATACTTACTTAAAAGACAACCTAAGAAAAACTTAACTTTATTTAGCTTTATTAATAAAACAAAGTTAAAAGGTTGCTATGACTTTTAGAACATGATGCCATTGATATTTATAAAACAGCAATGAATCCTAACATGACATTAAAGTCACACATACTAACAGTTCCTCTCCCTGGGAGCCAGCTGTGCATAGTGTTCCTCCTGCAAGTAGCCTGTCATCTTTACAGGACAAAAAAAATAAAATAAAATAAAATAAAAGGCATTAGTAGATAAAGCTTAATTTTGAACATTTCGAACTTACTGGGAAGTAATTCACAGAAAGTAATTACAGAAGAAAAGTCAGTGCCGATATTTTTTTCTTTATGATCATGCAATCGGAGCACAAATGGGAAAAAAGCACTTATTTTTAGACTTACTCAGTTTTTAAAACCATGTATACATTGCCATCATTTAAAGTGCACGCTACATGTCCGCTGAATTAACTGAAGGCATAACAGGTGAGATGCAAGTTAAAATACTGCCACCAGTAGTTATACAACTAACCACAGATGTCAGTAGCGTATTTCAAACCCTAACCAGCTTAGTATGTTACTTCCTCTTGTATATTACCAGCCGAACACATACTCCATTGCTTTAGATACAATACTTTCATCTTTCCTAGGAGTTTGTCTGTCAGAAACCACCTAGAAGCCGGACGGTGGGAAGAAGAAAAGAGAAAATAAAGAGAATCAGTCAACATACAGTTAAATCTGTTCATACTAACCAGGTTTTTCCCTTTTCTTCTCCTAAGTGCTACTATATTTTGACAAAATACATTTGAATGATTTTCAGAACAAGCCCTTAACATCTGGAAAATTGCTGTTATTTATTATTATTAGAGACAAGCTGAGCTTGTACTTGAATTACATCCTCAGAGAAATGACAGAATAAAGCAAAGGCTACGGTCACACTGAAGCTGATGTATATACAGGCTCATACAACTAAAGGGAGATAGCACAAAGAACCACATCCTTCTGTTTCCCTCAAAATACCTGATAGTCACTAGTAGAAGCTTTATATGCTGTTGCAAGAGGTCTCATTGTAGAAATCCTCGTGGTATTATTTGCAGGTTGTACTGGTGTGCCGATGGATTTTGTAGGTGGAGTGAAAACTGAAGACATTGAGGATGTAGCGCTTCTTTCAGAATTTTCCATGACACTCTTAAAAAGAGGGTTAATATAGTGTAAACAACTACCAAAAAAACCTATATTTCAACCTTTATTATCTAGAATGATCCAACATGTAGAATTGCTTGATAAAATGTTTGTATCTCAAAGTATGGGAATACCACAAGTAAATTGCCTGTCAGTACAGAGCACACAAGTACACACCAACCCTACACCCCAGCATTTTCCTCACAGCAATCATTTACATGTTGGATTACGCCACTGCAAAGTAGGGAAATCTTTAACCTGTTCGCTGTATGTACAAAATGTCAGCCAAGTTTGAAAGAGTATAGAGAAAATAAATAGTAAGACTTGCAACAAACTTCAAGTCGTAACTTTCTTCAGGCTCAGTTGAACTAAGTAGCATAACACTCTCTCTAAATACTTCTGTTTGACCTGATCCATCCAGGACAGTCTCCAAGCCTCTACCAACTTGCAGCTTTTTCTTCACATTCAACTTACCAAGGAGTTTCACTCAGTCCCCTTAGCAAATGCTAGAAAAGAAGTTTAGAAAATGAAGCTTTCTGACTCATGTTGCATGTAAAACAGAAAAGGCAGCAATTCGCTTGAGAGGAACCACAAGTTCCACAAGTACTTGGAGAAACAAGATGGGACATGACAACCAGTCTTGAGAGACTTGATTTGCTGCATTTAGACTGAGTGGAGCATAACATTCAACCAGCCTAAATATGGCAGAAATTCAGAAGTACACCTAGCAGGAGACAGTTACCTAAGATACAGGACAGGATTAGTGACAAGTGTAGGGGGTAGCTGACTCTGCTCAGCACATGGGGAACCCATGGAATTAACTGCTACTTTTAAATCAGAAGCCTAAGTGCCAATGTAAAACCTATCACATCTAGTTTTCAACTGCTAGGAAGAGTTTTACAGACTAATACCAAACCCTCAATGGATTTGTCTCCATTGCCTCCAGGAACACAGGTTATTATTTGTAAATTGATACTACCCACAAAAGACATAAGGAGAACTCAAAAGCAACAAAGATCAGATCCGTGACTTCAAGCATTTTGGCTTATAGGCAATTCAGTCACCAATACAAACTGGACACCAAAATAGCAAATAAGGCGAGAAGAGACAGGAAGCCCTACTATCAGAAGACCATGGAGGAAAGGCACATTGAACTACATCTGTTCTTGAATTTCAGTCACTGTACGAAACGTTTCGAACTGATAAAAATTCAAGTAATTCCAAGCTCATTTTCGAGGGCTGCCTTCTCAGAATGGTTTACATTTGAAAGTTCTCATTACTCTTTAGCATTACTTATCCTTAGACAAGACCAAAAAATAATCCATAAACTATAAAAGAATGACTGTCATAAGCTTAAGCTAATGTACAGTACCTAATGCAAAGTGCTGCAAGAATGCATTGTTAGGGCATTGTCATGGCTAGAAATTAATACCTCATGATAAAATTAGACTGAAATACAGCCATGTCTACTCTAACCACTCCCTACAAGAAACAGACATGTTTTTGTGGGGGCAGGTGGGACAACAGAATTGGGACTGTTTTGCTAACAAATTTTCAGTCTGACTTATTAGATAAACTGAAAAGCCAGAATCAGATAAATAGTCACATAAAAGAGGGACAATTAGGACCACTAACAGTCCTAATCTGCCATCACACACCTGTTGTGGCCCCTAAACGCCACAAATTGCAGTCTGGAAAACTCACTAATCTCCACTGTCTCTTACACTATGTTTTCGCTTCATATCTTCTACAGCAACATAATTCTGTGTGTTGTAATTTCCAAGGAGCATAACAACTCTTCTTAGCAGGAAATGTTATCAAATACTTCAGAAAATCTCATGTAAGGTGTAATAGACTATATCTATTAGAACTATCTATGAACAGACTATACCTATAGTAACTAACTAACTATGCTTCACAATTCAAAAAGAGAAAAAAAAGTCAGGGAAAATAAAGAAGAAGGCCAAAAGTAGAGTGCCTTCTGTTTAAATAAAAACAGCTGTTAACTTACTTTATCTATACATGGCTTGACACCAATCATGATGGATTCACCAAAAATTCTTCCATCTTTGCTTAAGGCTTTCCGGGCTTGAAGCTTTGACTGATATCGGATATGCATCCAGTTTCCTGTGTTGGACATCTGTACAAGATTAAGTGAAAGTTGTGAAATCTAGCCTTTTAAAGAATGAGCTTGAATGTTTTTGGAAATAAATCTCGAACTAAGACATACCACATGCTTTAATATATTTCCATACTGAGCAAACTGTAGAAGAATATATGAAGCTGATGCTTGAGGAAATCTGAAAGACAGAAAGAAATACTCAAAAAATTATCCTGAGCAGGTTAAGAATTCTGGTGCTAAAATACAACCCCATGAAAGTTTTTTAGAAATCTAAAAAAGACCAGTGTGTCAATGCCATTTTAAAAGCAGTGACTTGAGAAATATTATCTTCTAGGCACTTTCACTTCACCACACACCTCAATGGTAGAATGTTGCCTTTCTAACTAGAGAAAAATTAGCATGTAGCTTAAGTGCTTCACTAAAATATATGTATTTGCTGGCTTTAACCACAGCAGTACTTCCTGCACAACCTAGGAATACCAGACAAAAGCAACATCCAAGTACTTCTTTCCATATGTTGCAAAGTCTTCACTCATGTTTCTTCTAATGCTTGGGAAATCAACTCACCCAAATACAGTTACCCATGTGTCATCAAGTTGATCTTCTGAAGTCAGGGAATCACCCTGAGTATAAAAAGGATCTAGCTGAGCAGGAGATAGAGTAGTCTTCCTAGGCTGCCCAATACTTGCAGGACTGAACACACTTGAAGCTGTTAAATTTGAATGACATTAACAAGTTACTTTTGCAAGACAGATAAGCCTAGGAGTATATAATAAAAGAATAAATTCAGTATCGAGCATTTCACTTGTCTACAGAAGAGTCTGATTGTCGTGGTTTGACCCTGGCCGGCAG